TACAGGTCTAATCCAAAAGGCAGTGGAGCGACACCAGGAGATGCAGTCTCATGGTAGGCAGTGACCAACAATTGGTTCCCTCAAGATTCCGTAGTCCGTGTTCACCATTAATTTGGAATCAGGGTTTTCCAACTCCTCTAGGTGGATCCTCTGTGTTCACCAACTCCGTTATGGCTCCAAACATTCGCTTTTTGTCCTCTCGATTTCAGTCCTTGAAACAATCGTCTCCTATAACTCAAAATGTCACTTTATTATTTTCACGTTGCAACCAACCAAATTCCTTTTTGGCAGTATGACGGGTGTCGGCATTCAGAAACCCTGCTCTCCTGAAACAAACTCATTCACTCAACTACACGATACAAAATTCCACAAATAACCACCAGTTTTTAGAGTTCAGTACAGTGTCTAAACCCATCGAAAATCACCAAATACCTGGAACTGTACCGAAGCAAGAAGAAGAAAACTTGAAGAAATTAAATGGTCCACACAATCTCGTGACAAATATATTGTACAGTGAATGTAGACCTTCTAGCCTTGAACTTGTAAGGTCAACCCATCATGTTTACTGTATTATTACGTTTGGACTGGTAAAAGGTACGGAAAAGCTGTATTATGCTATATTCTTCTAATATTCGTTCACAGAAAACGCTATTTATATGCCATCTATGCGCAACTTTTTCACAGTCACTAGAAACAACCAGCTGACAGATAATCACTTATTGGCCTTCTAACATCTTGTGTGCCTTCCCAAATTCGCCCTTTTGAAAACTAGTACTAAAAAGGACATTTTGCCTTTGGTGGCTATTCTTGTTGTCCTGCTAATATTTTGACTTAAACCATAGACTGTGTGGCACGGGAACCCGAATGGTTGCTTAAGCAACCAATATAAGGGAAATAATTATTATGTCTCTTTTAAAAGAGACATTCTTTTAAACAATTAGGTTAAATATTGGAAAAATTCGCCAAAGAGTCTTCTTTTTTTCTTGTCGTTGAAAAATAATGCGAAATTTCCTTTTTTGTCGCCTTGTGTTTGAACTGTCACTAAGTTGTCTAATTTCCAACTAAATACATATCGAGTTGTCCACTTTTCATAGATTTCGGGTTTTCGTCAAGAAGTGACACTTATAATGGCAAACCTATTCATCCGATTGAATGAGTGAATTTCGTGTCAAAATCCAAGACCTGTTATCCTATACGTGTTTGTTCGTCCATAAACTTTCGTCTCGCCAGTTAGACACTGACGGAAAATGACATTATAGTTTACAAGGTGATTATCAGTAGATAGGTGCTCGTCACAAAAATTCGTCGTAAGTACAAAGTTCCACTTCCATTTACGAAGGTCTACAAAAGAAACTACAGGTGATGCGATATTCATTAAGACTATGTCCTAATTTTAATTGCATATGAGATCAGACACGCTCTCACGACATAATTAGTCTCAACTTAGCACATGTCAGTAAGAAAGTAAATCCATGGTCAGAGAGAGCTTTATTAAAAAAATTAAGTTAAACATAGTAATAAATTTCGAAAATAACGCTCTTTTTGAACTGCAGTGTTATTATTCTGAGGCGAAATAATCCCGTGAATTCTGGAATTAAATAAACATACATTTTTAGCAATGCTATGTGCCGATTTCCTGATCCCTTTCATATAAGACCTCAAATCTAGAGGCGGGTAATCTAAGGCTCCATGGAAACAAACGTCATCAAGAGGGTGCTTCAACGAATGCACTTTATAAACTGAGTGTTCTGGTTCATATCGTCATTCATGTCCTGTCAAAAAAATTATTAAATCATTCCTAGTTGAGTCTGCTTTGCTGTGTGGTTTAGGATGCACCGACGAATATATCGCTAATGCTAAATGTTTAAAGTTTTGGTAAAGCAGTGGTGGTAAAGAATTACGGAGCCTAAATAGAGACCAGTTTTTGTTAACATACGCTATTTTCAGTTCCTTGGGAAGTGATTCATTGTCTGTTAGGCAAGAGCGTCCCTGAACCATTCATAAACGTCCTAATACCCCTTCACATACCGTATAAACTACCAGGTCGATGGGATCACCCAGAATTTTTCTAGGTATGTTTGATGGAGACATCGGTCTTACTAAACAAAATGAAGTATGCAGGTTTAGTGCCATGATTTCATACTACTCTCAATCACTTAGCGATCATTTTTGGTAGGTATGGTTGGTGTTTAAATCAATTAAAGTACTTTTATGAAATTTGCGAATGCTTGTCTGTAGAGTAAAGAAAACTGCTGAGCAGTCGAATCGTCCTTTAGTGGACAGACGGATTGTCATGGTTTGAAGTATTTGAATTATAGTACAAACTAGGAATCCTAGAAATAACGCAATTTAGCCTAAAAGTACTAGATGAGCACGAATGAACGTATCGCATTTGGAATTCGAAATCAAGCAGTCATCAAGTACAAAAGAAACCTTGCAAGATATAGACATTTGGTCTAATTTATATCTTCTGAAAGCTTGGTTGAACTAGATCCAGGAATTTTTAGAATAAAAAATTGGGACAATAAGCCAATTTCTGTTTCATAAACTCACACTAATCAGAACGGAATCACCTGGGTCTTGGAGTTGTATGTAATCACCATGCTTGTTGTGTACTGAAATCATTGAACTATAGATTTTCCAATACTATCCTCCCCCACGAAATAATGTTGGATCTTCATATCCTCAAGTTATGAATAGCGTGGCTTGATTTATAACCTATTTCTCACATTGATTAGAAAATTCCTTAGAAGTAACTTCAAGATAAGTATAAACAAACTGATACCGGATGAAGATGTAGGTTCGCAAGTTCCTCATAAGAAACAAATGCATCATAAAGACAAATAACACTTAACATGGCATCAAGATTTGATTGTTTTGAAATATTTTCTTCAAATTTATTAGAAATGTCATTGGGGGATAATGGACCATTAGAAAAATCAGCATCGATCAAAACTGCGTCAGATTTTTGATCACGATTTGCTTCACTCAACATATTTTCCTCAGATTTGTAAAAAATTTCATTAGAAATATGTGAATCGTTAGGACAAGCCACATCTGGTACAATAACATGAGAAATCCGATAAAAAGTTGATTGACTAGAAGCTTTTATCTTACAATGATTCTGAGTTTCATTTAATTCTGGGCTGCTACTATTACTATTATTATTAAAAAATGCTAAATAGATTAACATTGTAATATAAATTGTATAATACGAACAGAACTACAAAATTTAGCATTGCTTGCAGCGAAACGAATAATAGTATTACAAACTGACTAAATGTGTCCGGTTTTACCACATTTAAAGCATTTGGTATTACAAAATGCACATGAATTACACGGGCGAAACTTACCCCAGAACAAGCATTTACCAAACTTCCTGATTTGCTTCGCAACTTCTCAATGAATTATCTAAATAACCTCGATTACTCATTGGACTGAAACGACGTAGTAAAGTAGTGGAATTCCTCATGTCTTGACGAGTCATTTTATGGAATTTTCCTCCTTTACCTCATTCGAAATCTGTATACTTTACATAGCCTAGCAGTAGTTCGTTGAGAGTTGCATAAGGAAGTGAAATGGGCTTTACTGGTAAAACCAGTTTTTAATAAGCTGTATACCTCTTTTCCGATCAGTCAGCTACAACGTAGGACCAGGCACATTTATGCATCGGTCCAAGTTGCCATACCTCATTAACACAACGAGATGGACACCGGATTCATAAAAGTAGTTAATTCAGAGGTAGTAATATATAAAAGAAAGATTGCAATAAGGATATAGTACAGGAAGAAAAAATTAGTTCGTAGAAAGAAATATTTGAAGCGATATTAATCTCTTAGTTTAAGGGAAGACAGAGAGTGTATACACCGGTGAATGTAAAGAAATGCCACAAGATGAATTTTATAGGAAGCTATCCAACCTCCTTCAAAAATCTAAACTCTCTGATGTAGTAATGGTAGCAGTTGATTTTAATTATCATACAAACTAGAAATCTCAGAAATAACGCAATTTAACTAAGAGGTATTAGATGAGCACAAACGAACGTATTGCATTTGGAATTCGAAATCAAGTAGTTATCAAGTACAAAAGAATCATTAGTTCATACAAACGCCACACGGCTATCTCACCTACACCACGATTTGGCGAGGGGCAACCGAGCTTTGAATATACGCCGAAATTTGTGTCAAACACCAACTCTAAGCATAAGGAGAAACATCGTCTGACATTATTACTATTATTACTCCATTCCCTATCACTAATTCAGACGTTGACTCAGGGAAGTCTTGAAATAATATTTTCCATTTAGGAAAGGATCGCGTCTCAAACATGTTGGCATTGTTCTTTAAGGCGATCAGCGTACTTTGTCTGAGTCTCACTGACCGTAGGAGAGCCATAGCAATAAAACCCCTCATAGTCCAACTCAGTGGTGTAAAAGTTAAGAATATATTTCCAGGGAGATATCTATGATGAAATTAAATAGAGATCAAACCTAATACGTATCACTTGAGGTCGATAGTTCTGGTGACAGTTTCCTAATACCTCTGACTCAAACAATATTATCTGGGTAGAGATGCTTCACATGTTGTATGTAATTTGGTACCTCTTTCAATGACAAACAGCCACAATCTTTCGTCCGATAGAGTTGAGTATCACCTCAAAGTTGTAGATAATTGAATGAGTCAGTTTGAGGGTATATTTATCTCAAAACTTGACGAATAGTGATTGTATGGTCAATACATCCACGTCTAGGTTTGAAATCAGGCTAATTTTCCCTAGTTCGCCGAATAAAATAATCAGATTTTTATATTTTCTTGTTTTCGCACATCTTTTTACAGTATTATTCTCTCTGTACCACTTGTAAAAATATCAATACATGAGCCACTATTATCTCATATATATATATATATATATATATACCCGTGAATAACCTTATTTTATTACTGTTAGTTTAATCTTTTGTTCAATTTACAGAAAACTAGTAAAGGATAGTCCACCAAGTTATGTGGCTATTTACTAACAGGGATTCAGACAGCTTGTTGGGATCAGCTACCTCATTAGGCTTGAACTTTTCTCATGACCCAGTCCCTGGTTTCTCTATTGACCCACCCAACTCAGAACCATTAGGAACGATTTATGGTCCATATGATTTCAAATGGCGACTTCTCCCTGGTCAGAAAAAGAAAACCAAAGAAGAGGTTACTTTGTTTGTGTGCAACCTAAGTTCGAATGCTGCAACCAGGGAAGCTAGTACTATTCTGTCTGTTTTTCAAAGCACAGTCAAGTGGATGAAAACATTACGTCATCCAAATATGCTTACTTGGATCGGTGGATCAGAGATTGGTTCAGGGAAATTACCTAATGAAATTGGCTTTGTTACGGAACGTGTTCTACCATTACGGGAATATCTACGCATTAAAGCAGATTGTGGAAATTTCAACCTTCTCTCTTCATGGGGTATACATCAGGTTGGTATCGGTAGATAGATTATAATGCTACTGAACTATGTCTATTTTTGAAAAACTATATTTCTTTGTTCGACATTATCAAACATGATTTAAATATTTATGTGTGAAGAGTAGTTTGACCTAAGAAGGATCAATGATTTTGCTGAACTTTAATCTGTGTGTTTACTCTGGAGATTTTTAGTGTTCTACTATTATGTTACATAGGCTCGATGTTATGACAAAGCACAACCTTGCGCGTGCGTCTAGTTACAAGTCAGTCAATCAGTCAGTAACAACGTAGAACTTCGTACGTACGTACATCATTTCGAGTTGCCATACCACATTAGCACCGAGATGCAGTTGTCGATTCAAATCCAGTAGTGGTAGAGGTGGTAAGAGTATAAGCAGTAATCGGAAAGATTAGGGTTTGAAGATGTTATTCAAGGAGTAGAATCCAGCGAAACAAATTTGGAAAGAGGAAAAAAAGGGACATGAAGAATTCAGAAGATTAGAATTTTGGAGAATACAAAGAGTCGATGCACCTGTGCCATTGCAACCGATTTTTAGCAATGTCATTCAGGGTCTCTTCATGAGCTTTGGTTAGGCGTCGAAGTATTATTGAAGCTAATATTTTAGACACTATATTAGTCAAACTGATTCCTCTGTGATTGTCACAAGAGGACTTTTGTCCTTTCTTATAGACTGGCAAAATCAGTGATTGAGACCAGTCAGATGGGATTACGTCTAGTTCCCAAATTCTACCTAAGACCTCAGTTAATCTCACTGCTAATACTGAACCACCATCCTTAAAAATCTCAGGAGTAAACCTGTCAGGGCCTGCTGCTCTCCCTCGTCTCAGAGTTCTTATAACTTTTTCAACTTCGTAAAGAGTTGGAAGACCTACATTAACTTGCCATTCAGGTTGACTGGAGATCGTGGGAAACCGAAGTGTGGCTGAAGACTAGTTGAACTGATCCCTAAAGTGTTCTACCCATCGATCCAATCTCCTGATTGAGAATGTATATATCCATCTTTCTCTAAGATTGTTTCGCTAACAGAGACTCCAGTCAAATATTGGTTTCCTTAACGAGTCTGAACAATTGTCTGCTATTACCTATTGCCGCTGCCTTTTCCATCTCTCTTGCTTTCACTACCCACCACTGTTCACGATCATTGCGTAGGCTTCTTGTCAGCTTGCGCTCTTCGTTATGTTACAAACTTCGATGAATTTCTGTCCACTGTTTATTTTCGAAATTTTCAACAATCCAACGATTGTCCCTACTCGGACATCGTTATTATGTCTCATTATGTTCATAAGTTATCTGGGTCAAATGCATTTTTTGGTCATGAAGAATTATTTCCACTTTCTGCTTGTATTAACCGTCTCTAGATCTTGAGTCATTTCCTTGATAGATTATTTTAAATCGCTTGCCGGGGTGCTCTGTGTTGTTAGTAGATAAGCTTAATAATCTTAATTTCCATACTTCTGGTGACGAGGAGGAGTTATGACAGTGCCAAATATTTATTAGGAGAAACCAGTGTTCCAATTTTTAGTGTTCATTTTTCTTCAATAATGATGGCTAATTTTTTTAAATCTATGTATCGTCATCTAAGTAAGTGTGAGTTAGAAATTTTCAGTCCTTATTAAAAAAAAAACATAATTGACCGTACAGTTTTATAAAGATGTTCTCTATCTATTCAGTGATTGTTTACACTTTCCAGTGATAGGGCCCCCATCTCCAAGTGTTCGTTCACTAAGTAATGGGTTGGAACGTCAAGTCGATGGCACTAGGCTGGCACATAATTAAGCGTTACCATAATATGAACAAGAAAATATTTGCTACATATTGTTTGGATCCATACTGTAGTAAAACAAATTCACCAGCAACGATTGTTTCGGAATTCAGCTCGAAACATTTTTCAACACTATTTTGGTGCCCGTTTGTATCAATGTTTGTGTTTAAATAAATAATTTTGTTATGATCTGAGATACCCGCGAACTATGTTAACGACAATTCGAACCAGGATACGAAGACCCCAACTACTCCAACAATGGTTACATATTGATATTAATTGTGTACTCGCTTAACATTAATAATCGTCAAGTTAAATTTCTAATACACTTGTAGTTTTTGAGTATTTGGTGCATATCTTTTATATACTTATTGGTATATATTCATAGAAGACTTCTTAAACGATAAAGCCATTTAAGTATGAGTATAATTGGATTATCTCGTAGTGATAAATGTTTCTTACCATCATTCCACCATTCTCTCATTTGAAACCTATAAATATAAAATAGCTAAATAGTTCTATTGCAACCGTTTCTTTGGGTGTTGATTTATGTTTTATTTTTCAGTTAGTTGAAGGTGTACGATAGTAAACCCTGGACCTAGGTTTCGCTACAGTATTTAAACCTATTAGCCAAAGCATTATCCATAAAGTTGGAGTTAATCTGAATATCTTGGAAAAATTGCGTATTCTCGGGAAATATGTGAAAGTAGGACTGTGAATATTACTATATTAATGCTTCAAGTTTATGTATTTCGATATGCAAACCTTTTCGCACTAATCTAGATGTCAACATGATAAGCGCATGTTATTGGCCAAAATAAGGCTTCCTTTTTCAAAGAATAAGACGCTCTATTGGTAGAAAACGTGGTTTCAATTTACAAGTGTATATATATATATATATATATATATATATATATATATATTAGTGATAACTCGACTCAGATAATAAATACTTTCTTCTCAGTTTTCTCCCTACAGTACCTAGTTAGGCTCGCACACAACCCAATTATGTGCAACTGTACAGCGATAAGTGGAGTCATTTTAATACGCAAATAAGAGATATAAAAGATCGTTTAGAAATGATAAAATGTATTACATACAATTTATATCTAGTGAAATTATACCACTCACTTGAATCATACGTTCCAATGCTTGTCTTAATGTATAAATAGAATGATTGAAAAACTCCAACAATACATCGTTATTCTGATCATTGTTACTTTCTGAAAGGCCTACAGTGTTGCTAATCGATAAATCTCTACTTGGTACTGAAGATTTCGAATTTGATAGTTCTGTTGTTATTTGACTTATATGTTTGACACATTCCTAATTGTGATAAAAAAGAAAAGAGAGAGTGAATAAAATAAAAAAAAGAAGTAATTAGATAAATAAAGGACGAAATGACAAGAAATGTGATCATAGTACTTTCCTCTTCACGAAAAACTTCTATGTCGATAGTGGTACAGAAAAAAGTAAGTAACCAAATGAATACTGGTTTGTGAATGACGAACAGGAATCGAGAAATCAATTAAATATCTCCTATAATGAGGTGAATATTGTGAACATAAAACTTTTTGGATTATCTTGCAAAGAATTATTTAATGATAATTTTATTGCATATTATTAGACACTTAAATTACTGCACTCTTCTATTGTCCTAATTGTAAGCTTTCATTTGGTGCATAAACTATTGTTCTTTGTTTCACCTTCTGTGAGTTATTATTGACCAATTACTGAGTTCTGTTCCATTTATGGAGTAGTTATGCACATATTGTCTTACAAGTTTGAGTTATGAATGAAACTGTACAATGGAAGTTATTTGCCCGATGTGTTTCCTGTTTTGTTCGGTCAATCCGACAAGAAAGAATGGAGAAATGCATCCGGGATAATTAGGCATGAAGTGTTGATTTCAGTCGTTGTCTCACTGTAATTGAGTCCATTGATCCTACACATGAAAATCCAGATGAGGTAATCAACATTCGGACTAGGTAATACAGCTACTTGAAGATTAAATGAGCTGATCACCTGTCCTCAACACAACTCAAGACGTCTTTTCTTTTTGTCATCACATTAATATCATAATGTGATGTTACAGTCAATGCTAGGTCATACCACCACCACCTGCAACAATAGTAAATCTAATCAACTAAGTTCTCTTCTACAATTTTAACGCATAAAATGGTTTCTCGACACACTACAGTAATAACAGACCCCCCACCCGTTTATATTATGCCCGGAAGTGTTGTGTAACAACTCTGTGATAAATATTCAATTGGAAATAGTTTATGAATTACGTCTTTTCAAATAAAGTAACCCTAATTTTTAAAATGTTACCACTCGTTTTGTAATAAATTTAAAATGTACCATAGCCTAAATAACATCGATAGTTGAAAAGAATGAATAGACCACTGACTCAATAAATGTTTGATCATCTTAAGAATTTAATACTTTGAAACAAATGCAACCAACTGAGTACTTGGTCATGTAACAAATAAAGAAATTTTACGTTATTTAAAATAATCACTAAATTACCTGTAAAAATAATTGATACTTGAGTATACGTGTACTGGTTTGAGAAGATATGTGGCAAGAGGAAGTTGATGTTGTAATTCTGACTGACAATTGTTAAGACATATCCAAGTATCTGTACGAGATTTTTGGGCTTCTTCAAGCAAACGAATAGTTCTGAGTGGGGTTTTTTTTAAAGAGAAAAAGAAAAGAAATATACTTTACGAAAAATGAACAATTTTCATATATTCAATGACTCATGAAACTTCTCAACGAATAAAGATATGAACGTGTACATAAAATTATTTCCAAGTACTTTAAGTTCCTCATTTACTTAGAAACAGCTCTCACTAAAATTTAGTCTAAAAATTCCAGTTAGCAAATACAGTACATCAAATTTCAATGACTATTCATGATTGAATACTCTAAGAAATGGATGGAATTTAACAACTGTATGCATATTACTACTACTACTGATGTTGTTACTGAAGATATCCAAGAACAAAATACGACAGCAACCGGGGACTTATTAACTTTCAACAGTTATGATACTAAACTCATTTTCAAAAGCCACTTCAAACTTATGTGAAAAGGTATATGTTAGGTCCCGATAAGCATAATGAATGGTAACTTTGGGACCCATTATGGACCAATAATATTATAATAATTTTTATCGTATAATTGTTAAATAACTAAACTATTCATATTCATATTACTCTCGTTATGAGCTTTATTTTGACCTATGAACTGTTATTCTACGATTTACCATTCTTGAATTATGCTCTGTCTAGTAATTACTACCTCCCACAGCCACATTTGGCCAAATCTTGTACAAATGTTGTTTCCTATTTTATGGTACGTTGTGGTCTGTTTAATTGGTATATAAACAGAATATGTTTGAAATACATTATTTATATCGCAGAGGCTCGGATTTGTGTTCTAGACTTAACCGGCAGGTCTAGACAGGAAGCAGGACCGATAAGGGCTCTGGACAGCTCGTACGGGTTTTATGCGTCACTGGTTCGATCGATAATTCACTGTTCTCTAATTGGCGGTATCATTACGTATACATTAACAGGGCACACAGGCAACTCAGTGGATCGATAATAAACTTCAGATAAGAATATAGTTTTCAAAAGATGTGAACGCCACTTTCTAGAGAAAATAACTAATGCTTTTGAAGCATTTCATCTATAACTGCTCCATGAATGAAGTGAATGGGTTATTTACCAAAGAACGATGAAATTTCTACTAGGGAATAATTGAACTTAAATTAACAGAAGTAGGAATACATACAGTTTGCGCGAACCTAAACTGTTGATTTTCAATCAATAATAGCAGCCACCAAGGGCTGGAAACTTCAGGTGGAATTACTCGGGTTTGTTCACAATTGCGCAAGCGTATTCACCCTTTATCTTCCTCTCAAAATATGAGCAATAATGATAAAACAAGCTGCAAAATTTTATACACCTGTCTAACCATACTTATAGTTCGAGAAACTAAACCAACAACCGAATTAACAAACGAAGAAAGAATATAATCAAGTATGTCTTCAGGAATTTTTCTTCCTATAATCCCTGAATGAGTCTGAATGATGTATGGGAACTCGAACCAATTCACAATCGTTTGTGTATTATGAGTTGATAGTGTACTTAAGTTAATAAAGAAAGTCATCAATAATCCTAAACAAATGTAATTTATTAATCTAACAATGTCATATATTTATTTAACTTAAATATATACCCGATAAACCGTACAACAATTTATTCAACGAAGAAATACTTCTCAACAAATTCATTCTAAAGCGTTATCCTAGAAAGATTCCTTTCTATGGAATGAATTCGCTAACCTCATGCCAACCCTGCGTTTAGATAGCGTATTTGTAACTACAGCTGGTGAATGGAAATTAGGCGCTTTAGATTTTGTCGGACCTGTCAGTGAACCTCCACCGTCTACTAGACAAACAGCATGGTTTTAGCTGTGATCCCCGCGTACGGATTTCAATGGCGGTCATAAATCATTTCATGATTTCAACAAAATTATCGTATTGGGATGATCAAAATAAGGCATTCTTAAGTGAGTTAGATAATGTTATTCATTCAAATAGCGAACTTTTGCATCGTTTAAGACCTATATACACCAAAATAATCATTATTAAATAAGAAAGGTCATTAAAACAAGTGTAGAAAAATTCGTTGTGAGTTGTTAAGCCATAATCAGTATAAGAAAATGAATTATGTAAAATAAATAGTAGGGTGAAGTTCTTTATGGACTTAATTGAGAAAATAATTATTACTATTACTATGCCATGTAAATATAATCTTTAATAAGAGAGGTGTTATCAGAGTAATTATGATAAGAAATTTAAATGAATTGAGAAAGGAAAATGTGTAAATTAAAAATAGGACAAAGTAGAGATAACCACAAACCAGGGAGGATTACATAGATAAGGGTTTACAGTATGTGATGACCCACTCGTGGAGTGGGGTCATGATAAGACATACAAGTTAGATATAGTGTATCGGCGTCTGACCCATTAATCTGTTCCAATAAATATATTTTGATGAAACCATCTGGAAAACCATTGCTTAGTTGTGTATTTCTGGACAGCTGCCAAAGTTCTCTACCGTCATTTATCCATTTCTTACTTTGGCTAATGGTAATACAAAAATTATGGATTTGTAACTGAAACGCCTGATAAGTTATAAATAATTACTATACATTTTTAACTATTCCTCTTGACCAGAGATAACATCTATCTACACACTGAAAGGGAGTTAATTAAGTGAATAAATTGCAAAGAAGTTGACATATTGATGGTATCTATAATGGTAAAGATAAATTTTAGAATTATAGCTGATGTAAATTAGTGATGAAAAACCTAATTCTAATTCCTAATACAACTGAGGATCTAAAAAGCGACAAACAATTCACCTGTGTCACTGTCTATAGACTATAACTATCGCAACACTCTTGTATAGGCAGATTGTAACAGTGATGAGATTCCCCCAATACTCCTTAACACTAGCTCTCAACACTAGCTCTTCATCTTAACCCTGACTCCTTACCCTAAAACGCCTTAACTCATATTCTTACATGATAATTATACTCTAAGGACTCAACACACTCAACTGTTTTTCTTCGAATTTTTATTCCTTCGCAAGTTTTGTGTTGATTAGAATAGTACATGCTATCCGCAATAGCATTTTAAAATAGCCGCTTCCATTAAATCTTCAAAGCCACTACGCTAATAAATCCAACGTAACTTATTTACTAAAAGCAGATTTTTTAGTGTATCTATGATCCACATAGTTTGTGTAAGGGCTAATAATACTAATGTAATATCCAAACACGAATTACAGTCCAAACCTCCAAGTCACTGATTGAAGTATTTCAATCATAAAGCCACTATTCAACAATCATGTTATACTTATTACCACTTAAATTACATGTATCACTTGTAAATTTTCTTTGTTTTCTACCATAAATTATATAAATGACGCAGTTACTACTTGGTTTTAATTAGTTTTATAAATACGTACATTTTCCTCGTTGCTTTTTTCAAATCCTTAATAAATGATTTCATGATGGAGGTTTTTCTATTTCCATAGATCCGTACATGCTCCAGACAATCGTCTCGTTGATTCATGGGGTTTGGGATGTTTAATATGGGAAATATTTAATCCGTCTTCAATATTAAAAGATCGCGCTCAGTTAATTGAATCTTCATATTCGAAGAGAATTCCTAAAGCATTAGTACATGATTATCGACGTCTCATTGCTCAAAGTGCTACAAAAGGTTGGAGTGAAACGATTCACCGTGTCTCAATTTCTCCAGTCAACTCGTAATTCAGAAAAAACAAGGATTTTTAGCCAATGATTACGTAGATACATTATTATTTTTAGAAGAGATTGAATTAAAGGATAGTATGGTAAGAAAAATCACTTCATTTTTGTGATTGTGGTTAAACTCTTATGTTATTGTTCTTGTTAAAACTTAACTCTGTGGCTTCATTTAGGTTTGTGAATTAAGCTGTAGCTTGGTGTTTAAAAAACTTGACCTTTAGTCATTGACTCACAGGTTAAAGGCCAAATTCACTTATTTGGTCGATTGGTATCACCAACACACACGTAAAGTGTGACTTGAAACTATTTATTTATTTGAACACAAATATTGGTACAAAGGGGCACCGAATAAATATTCGCCACATTTCGCTATCCGATTCGTGTGGTGGCTGGGATGCTACGCATTTGTTCCCTTAGGATCCTGCAGTCCATGTTCACAATTGGTTTATAATCAGAGTTTTCCAACTCCTCTAGGTGGATCTTCTGTGTTCATCAACCCACTTATAGCTCCAGACATTCGCTTTTCATCCTCTCAATTTCGTAAACAACACCCCCTCCGCTAGAAGGTAGTGAATAGAACTTCTCTAGCAGTGGTTGTATACGCGTGTCCATGTGAGAGCATTTCGAGAGGGAAAGCTGACTCTCGCCATCCTCGGCTGTATCAGGGCATTTGGGTGTCTACTACATAAATTTATCCTTGGTAAATAAGTTACACTATACTGTATATTTTTTAGAAGTATTGAGTATATGTCACCAAATGTTGACTAAACGTCTTTTACATTCATGAACGCTATTCCATCCAAACAGTTCAGTGCTTTTAGATTTAAATGGTATTTTATAACTCATTGTAGCTTTATGTTTAAATTTTACTAAGAATATAGATCAAGATCATCCATTTCCTCTCTACAATTCATTTCGTTATGGTCATTTATGATAGAATGAAAATAAAACCCTGGAATCCTGTTCTAATAATTACTATAACATTGTTCATTAATGAGTAGATAGCTTCATCATCAGATTGATATCAGCTAACGCTAACCCGCGTGGTTTGGTGTTCCAGCCAGATTGGTTGTTAAATCCTTATACTGATGGAGTCTTTAGGTCCTTCTGGAATGAATTCCGCGTTTTCAAGGCTCACAAACCCACCGCGTGGAGTGATTTTGTGGGCAATCGCGGCCCTGCAGGTCTTGGTGTGTGTAGGTGTCGTACCAAGAAGAGTAAGTAAAGGTTTTTTTAGATTTTATTTACCCTGGATAGGTATAGTCTAAATGCATTCCAGGTGACACACAGGCTTTCATCCATGTATCCATTGGTATACATACAGGTATACCTACCCTGTCAGCAAATATGCGTTACATGCACGCCGGTAATACACGGATTTTGTCCCATGCATCCCATAGGATACATATAGGTATGTTCACCCACTTGAGAGGGTGGATGTTCACCGCCCCTGTACTCTCCAACATACACATAAGCATAAACGCTCTCTCAGTGGAGGTTGTTGATCTTCTCTTTCGAGTATCTGCTACCATATCTTTTTATTATGTCTCCAACCTGGTAGATTAGGCCGCTGACTTTATTAGACATAGAGAAAACAATATTTCAGCTTGCTTTTCCATTGTACCACGACGTTCACACCCTTTGCATAGGCCTATATACATGAACAACATACACCCGTGACTTCTGCAATTCTTATGCATTGTCATACACATCAGGTAGCCCAGTGAGGTTAAGTGAGCCTCAAGTTGAAACCCGAGTTAGTCTAGGAGACGGCGGAGTGGTTGGTTAGTCCAAGCTCCGTCGACCATCTAAGTTGACTAGCAGGGTTTCCCCTACTATCTAGCAAGAGGCCTTATGTCAGTTTTTGCTGCTCAACTCACGTAAACAAGCACTTTATACCCCTTATCAATGTCACCAATTACCATTACTACTTTTCGCTACCCCGTCTAATAAGTGGTTACAAAATTTTCAGGCTTATGTTTTCTTAAATCATTAACATTTTAATCAATACACGTGTCCAATTTGGTGAGACTACGTCTTTTGTAATGCTTATTGATCTGCAAAATGTTGTATTATTTTACTTCATTGACAAACTGATTTTTTCTTAAGTTATGACCTACTACTCATTGAAAAAACTTGAATTTACACACCCAGTATCTTCTTGTTTTGAAACACTAATATCATTTAGAATTATGATTAGCCGACATTGGAGCGTCTGTTTTTCTTCTTAATCATATGTACGAATACACAAATAAAATGTGTAACAGAGATAACCAACTAATTTCAAGGGACTTAACCATATCTGGAACTCAAAAGTATCTATCTTAGGAATGCTAAGTTGAACCTTACTTCTCTAAACATCTGAGTCGTAGTGACTGAGTCATGATTCCGTTGATCCTCACCCAATAGATGTGATCTAATAAAAGATGCTTCATTAGGTTAGTCAGAAAATTTGTATCAATAATAATTTCCAATACATTCTAATGATCGTTATCTTGTACTTACATTATTTATTTGTCTATTTGTAGGAAAAATCAACATTTTTAAAAAATCTTGCCACACAAATAACAAGTTTCCCAGATGATGTATGCCGTCATAAAATACTACCTCATTTAGTTAATGGTTTACGTTATGGATCTGCTGGAGTTGATGCTCTTCTACCTGTATTGCGTCTTATTCCATTGTTATCGGATAATGATTTTCAAACCTATGTTCTCCCATGTCTTTTAAAATTGTTCTCATCACCTGAACGTGCAACACGTGTACGCCTTTTAGAACATCTACCTGATTTTGTACAACATTTGCAAACAAAATGTATAGAAACACAAATTTTCGGTCCAGTTTCTGCTGGTTTCACAGATACACATCCGGTTGTACGTGAAGCAACTGTACGTGCAATGATTCATTTGGCACCAAAACTTTCAACAAAACTACTAAATGAGAATTTAATAAAGCACATAATAACATTACAGGTTGGTGATAATTTATAATTACAATAACTTTGTATTGCTTATTCCATAATCCACTTATCATATGCGTGTTCCTAACTGCGGTGTACCAGTCATGAGATTGGTTAGGCCTCATTGGGGAACCCTATTGGCTCTCTTAGCAGAAGGACTCATTTTTCGAGGGAAATAAACCCACCGCCTAAATGCTTTTATGAGGAAATAGTTTAAAACCCCTTGGGTCTTCGCACATGGGTATCGCACCTAGGATTAGTATACATTACATCGACACCGATAACATAAGTTTTCATTTACGCATCCTATGGCATACATATATGCATACTCGCCTCTTTGGACGGCTGATGGTTACCACCCCATTCATTCATATCTGCTGCACCTTATGTGCTTTTTCCTTATTTATTATTTGAACACATAAATATTGGTACAAGGGGGCACCAAATATATATGCGCCACACAAAAAACAATGAGAATGGGAAGAGAAAAAGGAAGGTAAGGAGCGTATAAGAAAAACAGAACAATAACGAACAGATTAGTTTAAGATAGAGTAATAATGATAATAATAATGGGGAAAACGGAGAGGTACAACCAGAAGAATTCTTTCAGTTAAGGAAGATACAACCACTTTTTATGAAGAAAGTAAAAGAAGGTTACAGCAGCATCGCCACTGGCTTCTATTCTGAGCCATATTTGATAACGTCTCTAGCCACTGTGTTGCATCATCTCTCGGACCCCAACCAGGGAGTAGTGAAGGGTCAACAGAAGCCAGCCCTTTACAGCTTTATTTCATACCACGACACCATGTCATACACTGACCACCTCTCCGCTTTATCCAACCAGTCCCGGCGTCCGCAAATACTGCACGATGTGGAATTCTATCGGACGACATTCGTAGAACATGTTCAAGCCACTGAAGTCGATTTTTCAAGATGGTGGCACCAATTGCATTATCGTCTCTGCGATGATCAAACACAGAGAGTCGTCTAACATCCTCAACTCGGAGAGGCCAGGTTTCACAAGCATAGAGCAGAACTGCTCTCACAGACGCGTCGTAGATCCGACCTTGTACAGCCAGACCGACATCACGAAGGTGCCAAAGATGGCCCAGATTGGCATAATGTTATGTCCCGACAAGAATAATGAATGGTAACTTTTGGGATCTATTGATTGACCAATACTAAACGTATATTTCTATTGTATGATTATTAAGTAACTAAACTATACATATTCATATTCCTTTTATTACAAGCTTTATTTTGACCCATAAACTATTATTATACGTTATCATTCGTTAGCTATACCCAGCATATTAATTACTACCTCCCTCATTCACAGCCACATCTGGCTAATTGTTGTACAAATGTTGTTTCATATTTTATTGGTACGTTGTGGTCTGTTTAATGGGGGTATATAAACTCAGTATGTTTCAAATATGAGGATTCATAATTCAGAGGCTGAGACTGGTGTTCTGGACTTAACTGGCTGGGCTAGGTGAAAAGCAGGACCGATCAGAACTCTAGGCTGCTCGCACGTGTTTGACGCGTCCTTGGTCCGATCGATAATTCGTTGCTTCTCATTGGCGGTTTTGAGCTATGACACATAAGCCGCTCTGGTTTTCACTATACGTGCATTGATCTCATCACTCACGCCACCACCAGCACTTATGCAGCTACCTAGATACACGAACTTCTTGACTACTTCTATCTGCTCACCATCCAGGGTGAGTACAGGATTAATTAGGATCCTGCCAGTCTTGTAGAAATACTTTGCACTTCGAAGGTGCAAAGCACATACCGTACCTACGAACATTGATTGCCAACTGATTAAGTGCGGATTGCATAGTTTGGGCATTATTGTACAGTAAGACGATATCATCCGCATACTCAAGGTCGAGAAGTCTTTCTCCAGGCAACAGATCCACACCACCATTACTTACATCCATCAGAGCTGTTTCCAGAATGTCATCGATGGCAAAGTTGAAGAGGAGTGGTGAGATTGGGCAACCCTGTCTAACCCCACTGCTCGAATGGAACGATGGAGAAAGGTTGTTGTATGCCCGTACTCTACTTGAGTATGTGGTACAGAAAGAAAGATGAAATAATTTTAATCCCATAGTTTAAGGGAAGACAGAAGGTGTATACACCTACGCCATTGTGATCGTCCTAATATGGGACTCCTCAGTAGTATAAATCCACGACTCTGCCAGTAGGAATAAAAACCACACTGCTCGAATTGAACAATGGAGAGAGGTGGTTGTATGCCCTCACTCTGCCTGAGGTGTTTGTATATAGGGCCTTTAGGATGTTAATAAACTTCTCAGGCACACCCTTCTTCAATAGACAATCCCAGAGAACAGTTCTATCCAACGAATCGAAGGCAGCCCTGATGTCAAGAAACACTACGATTGTTGGCCTTTGATAAGTATGACGGTGTCCTAACATTTGGCGGAGGGTGAACATATGATCAATACATCCTCGACCAGAACGAAAACCAGCCTGCTCTTCGCGAGTCAATCTTTCTCGGGTTTTGAACAACCTACGAAGTATGAAGGAAGCCAATAGATTGGACGCAATCGGAAGTAGACTTATCCCGCGATAGTTGTCACAGGAACGACGTGAACCCTTTTCAAAGATAGGGACAACTATCGACTCATTCCATGACGTTGGTACACTCTCTAGTTCCCAGACCTTTGTAAACAACGTCGTCAGTTCCTTAGCCAGAAAGTCACCACCATCTTTAAAAAGAGCCGGAGGTAAGTCATCTGGGCCAGGTAATTTGTGACGCTTCAAGAGTTGGAGTTCCTTGCGGACTTCCGCCTCATTTGGTGGATCAGTCGTCACCGGCCATGGAGGGCAGGACAGTCTGGCCGATGTTGCCGGAGCAACAGGCCAGTTGAACTGCTTTTCGAAGAATTCTGCCCATCGTCCAAGACTTCGATGAATGTTAGTGATTGGCATCCGTCATCCTCACAGATTGTTTTGCTCACACCAGACTTCTTGCTGCCAGTGGCTCGGATGAATTGGAAGAGCTTCCAGTAGTTACCAGATGCAGCTGTTGCTTCCAGCTCATTAACACGCTCCGACCACCAGGCTTCTCGGTCCTTTAAAGGCAATATTAGTGTCAATTCTGTACCCCATTTCAATTATATGTTATCTATGAACATGATTTTCTACTTTCCATGTTGATCGGAACATTTGACACTAATTGGTTTTGAAGCCATCTAGGCACATGTTCGATCACCCTTGATTGCATTGTTCGACTACTCCTCCCTATGTATGTGTGTCCATACAAACATGTAAATTGGTAAATACATGATAGTACTGCATTGTCTAGGTCTATTTGGAATAATGGGCTTAGACTTTTCAATCACAACCAATTGAACAGCATAACAGGTTTTCTCGATGGCTGCTTTTAATCTCTCTGAAAACTATACTGTTATATTCACTTGTAAATGGTAGACAGGTATAAAAAGTTTTCTTCTGAGCAGAATAAACAAGAGGTTTTAATGTTGATTGATTTTCTAAACTAGGGTACCATTCCAGTGTATCATTGTCCTGTATCTGTAATGCATATTCTTTGAATCCTATTAAAGACACTTAGCCGAGCCTCGCTTGTATTGCAATGGACAGAAATTGTGGAAATTTAAGTATTGCCTCGTCCAAGTTGGTTTCCTACAAACTGACTGTCTTATAGTACCATCCTCCCTTCAACTCGAAAGTATGTCTAAAAAGGGCAATTGGTCATTATTTTCTGCTAGTACTACAATATCTATCAAACGCACTTTCTGGAGAAGAACAGTTAACTGGTGGTAGAATTTATATTTGATTGCACCCGGGCTGCAATCTGTCGGGGCATAGGCGGAGATAACGAGAAGATATCGTTTCTCACACCGATTTCTTCTCACTTTGATGGAACTTTCTAATCTAACAGCACATAACCGACTGTTAATGGGGATCCAATCGACTAGTGCTGGCTCAGCTCAAGCGCTTAGTGCGACACCAACGCCAGCAAGACCAGACGAAGATATCACAGGGTCCCCGGATAAACGCCTGTAAAACAAGCTTTTTGAAGCGATTGATGGAGAGCGAATTTGTAGTACTTCACCAGAGTCTTGAATACGGGTCTCGGATAGACAACAAACATCGATATTAAGGCTTTCTAATGACATAGCCAGCCCTATTTGTTGTCCGACCTGCATAAGTGTACGAACGTTGAAGGCAACCAGTTTGAATGGTTCACGTGGTTTCAGAAAAACTGCTTCAGTATTCGTATTTGGTGGTAGCATACAATTTTCAACCAGGCAGTGTAGGAAGCAATTTCCTACAGGTGTAACTCTACGCTATTCTCTAGACTGTCGAGCACAGAGTCTTGGTTTAGCCAAAGTCAGAACAAGTGTAAGTTATTATAGCGACTCACGTGCTAATGGGTTTATTTTCATTTAACCCAGTTAAGCCCTTTTTGTTAACTTATTTAGCGGACAAAGCCATCCGCGCTATAACAATTTATTGTATCCTTATTATTATTTTGAGCTTGTATGAAATACGGATACGTGGATATTGATAAATGTCGTATTAATAAGAATAATAATGTTACTAATAAGTAAAAGAATGAATAAATGACGTAATAATAATAATAATGTGAATCGTTTGATTGTTAATCGAAGCAAGACAAGTATGGCGCTCACTCGGTCACTCCATGGGACTGTCTCCTCACGATCTTGCTCCAGCTATCGTTAGCTTGATTGCCTTTAGGCAAAGCTCGTGTACCCCTAATTAACACACCTGGACATTCGGATATCTGAGCGGGGTTCCGCAACAAATATGATCGAAATGTCGTATTTGCCTGATGAGTAATAAACAATTGTTACGTTATATAGTACGGTTGTTGCGACTAACTTTATACGAAGTTTATGCATTATATCTAAGACTTAGCACCAAATAATTACACATACATAAGCGCGAACATGAGAGCATCTTGAAGGTTGTGATCCACTACCTTCATTCCAACGTATTTCCTTCCATGGGCAACTGTCATTTGGACTCTAATCATTCCGGTTGACATATTATCTCATTATTTTAATTATACGTACATTATCTCACGAACATTATAGAACATAACGATAATATTCATAATAAACAACGATATTTTTACAAACAATTGATATTTTGGTGCAATTTAGTAAGTCCGTTCTTTGTTATAAATTATACCATTTGTTTTTATCATTGTTTTTATCGACTCACTTTTCTCTGTGACATTCGCATTATATTTGTGTAATGTTTTTTATCTTCATAATATGTCTTTAAGTAACGATACAATAGAACTTTCCCAAACGCCGTCCGTGAGGTCCATTAATGTAACTATTCCTCCTTTTAAGGTCACAGATCCTCAACTTTGGTTCATCAGACTTGAACATTACTTTGTAGCTAATCGTGTTCATACACAGCGAGATAAATTTGGCCACGCGAGCTCGCTACTTCCAGATGAAGTAGCAGATAATGTACGAGAGATTTTAATCAAGCCAGACATAGAAAAGCCATACGACGCATTAAAACAGGCAGTGATTAAAGCCGTCTCATTAAGCGACCGGCAAGCCATCGAACAACTTCTCAGTCAAGTGCAGATAGGAGATAGGACTCCATCTCAACTAAAAAACTACATGAGAAGCATAATCGATGACAGAAAAGTAGATAAAAACATATTTTATCAGTTGTGGTTACGACGACTCCCAGCGAACGTGCAGCAGATCCTTGCGGTTGAGGACAGCGATGTCGATATAGACAACATTGCTAAAATAGCCGATAGGATTTATGAGAGAATGAAACAAACGAGTCCCTACCATTATTACTACATCACAGTAGATGGACGAATCGATGCATTACAAAAGGAGATTAATGTTTTATGCCACAAGCTGATGAAACTAAATCAGAGCGATACGCAAAGAGGATGGTCACGAAGTAGATCGAGGGAAAGAAGTCGATCACGTTCTAGGAGACGCTCAGCTCCTACAATATGTTGGTACCATCAAACTTTCGGCGATAAAGCTCGAAACTGTAGATCACCATGTAAATTCAAACGAACACACCGATTGTCGATAACCGCCGCAACAACTACAACAGCTCCTAGAAACAGTCGTTTATTTTACGTTCAGGATAGAGTAACAGGCGCTCAATTCTTAGTGGATACGGGAGCAGAAGTAAGCGTCGTGCCTCCAGTAAGTAACGAAACACGAAATATCGATACAGCGCTAACGCTTAAGGCAGCAAATAAATCCGATATAAAAACATATGGCAAGCGAAAAGTAACCTTGAATTTCGGTCGTACTACCTCATTCCGCTGGGAATTCATTATCGCAGATGAAACTGTATCACTAGGGGGAGTTGGTTTCTTAAAGAATTTTGACTTACTAGTGGATACCCGACGAAACCGGCTCGTGAACGGCGACCATTCAGTAGTGATAAGAGGAGTGACGACTGATCACGCATCCATGAATTTAGTAGTGTCAAAAGAAAAAAACGAGCCATATAGATCGCTTCTAAACGAGTATGCCGATCTGACGAAGGTATCATACGATAACAGAGATCTTAAACATACGGTACAGCACCATATTATAACGAAAGGTCCACCGACTAAATCAAGACCACGAAGGCTAGACCCGAAAAGGTTGAATGTCGCGAAACGAGAGTTCGAAAATTCCTACAAATCTTAATTTCTTAATAATTTTCAACTATATCTGATCTCCTTGTTTTATAGTCACGGGATGCACAAGGTGGAATTCGTACTATGCGGAGACTATAGAGCCCTTAACAAGCAAACGATAGCAGACAGATATCCGATACCACATATCCACGACATTACTACCAATATGGAAGGTGCCACGATATTTTCGAAAATCGATCTCGTTCGAGCTTATTACCATATTCCCGTAGCGACAGAAGATATATCTAAAACGGCTATAATTACTCCATTTGGGTTATTCGAGTTTTTGCGAATGCCATTCGGGTTACCAAATGAATCTACAAATCCTACTATAGTTTTATTTTGAAATCAGTCCACGATATTTTAATTAGCTTATTATTGGGACCATTGTTTGATGTTATACTAAAACGTAGTTAAATTACCAGAGAAGAACATCTGTATCATCTTTGACAGTTGTTAAAGAGATGTCAAGAATATCGAGTCACTATTAACCTGAATCAGAGATTAATCCACAAGGTAGTAGCACAACAATAGGTTCATATGCCATTTGTTCCTTAAGGATCCTATAGCCCATGTGTACCATTGGTTTGGAATCAGTGTTTTCCAACTCCCCTAAGTGGATCCTCCAGACATTCTTGGGGCTAATAAACTATTATAGACGATTTATCCCAAACTGCGCAGCAATATTACAGCCATTGACGGACGCCTTGCGAGGACATACTCGAACATTCCGTCTTTCAGCGGATGCTATACAGGCTTTCGAGAACGCTATGGGTCATACTCAAATCATACAATTAGCTTGATATAAATATAGACAAAACATATCATTATGCGAAAAGTATAACATACAAGTGAAATCCGTTTTGCAGCAGTTAGTAAACGGTGCATGGGAGCCACTTTCATTTTTCTCGAAAAGATTAAATCCTACCCAAACGAGATATAGTACGTTTGGACGAGAATTATTAGCAATATACTTAGCAATAAAACACTTCCGTCATATGGTCGAAGGCATAAGTTTTACCGTCTATACAGACCACAAACCGCTAACGAAAGCATTAAGCGCAAAGCAAGACAATTATTCCCCGAGAAAAATCTTGACAGTCAGTAAAGTTCAGAATGCATAATTCTTATTCACATTGCATTACGTTGTATATTCACTGAAACTAATCAACTACAAATAATGTAGGCGACGCATTGTCACGAGCAACGATAAGCACACTTATGGCAAGTGGAATTGATTATAACGGTCTAGCAAAGTTGCAGGAGAGAGACATCGAGCTAAATAAACTCAGATCCGGTGGTTCAACATCATTAGTACTCGAAGAGGTGCGGTTTGGTAACACGAAAGTAATTTGCGATACATCAACAGGCCGACCGCGACCATTTATCCCGAAAACGTTGCGACACAAAATATTCGAAAGCATGCACAACATGTCGCACCCAGGAATAAAAGCCACGATAAAGCTGATTAGTGAACGATTCGTATGGACAAACATGAATCACGATGTACGTAATTGGACACAAGCATGCATGAAGTGCCAAAAAGTTAAGGTACATCGTCATACTAGCTCTGCAGTAGGTCCGTTTTCGCACCCAGACACTAGATTTGAACATATACACATCGATATTGTAGGACCACTGCCCATTTCAAATGGATACAACTATATCTTTACATGCATCGATAGGTTTACACGATGGCCGGTAGCAGTGCCGATAAAAGACACCTCAGCTGAAACGGTAGCTAAAACCCTAGTTGAAAATTGGATTTCTTACTACGGTGTACCAACGATTATCACAACTGATAGAGGAGCACAATTCGAAAGTCGATGTTTTCCAGGTGGTTCCAGGTTTCCAACGGTGGTTTAACATCGATCGTTTCATGATCTCAATCAAAAAAATAATTGCCCGCCTACATAGGCAATTAAAAGCGTCCCTTACAGCCGTCATCGTTAACAACGATTGGTCTAATAAACTTCCCCTAGTAATGTTAGCTCTAAGAGCAACAATTAAACAAGACATGGGATGTTGTCCAGCCGAGTTAGTTTACGGAACTACTCTACGATTACCCGGAGAATTTTTCACTTCAAGTAAAAATGTCCCGACTGATGTAACCGGCTATGTGCAACGCCTGAGAAAGCACATGAGCGATTTAAAAATAACACCTCCCAGACCACAACAACGACGGGTATTCATACCACAGGAACTACATAACAGCTCTCACGTATTCATCAGAAGAGATAAAGTACAACCACCTCTTCAACCGAGTTACGACGGACCATTTAAAGTGATAGAGAGGACAAATAAAACGGTTACCATAGAAAAACTGGGAAGACAGATGTAATTAGCATCGATCGAGTAAAGCCAGCTTTCATCGATAGCGATAATCAATCAACAAGTACAGACTCATCTAAGATGGTCATACCAGCGAAACACGAGTCCCAAAAATCAACAACGTTAACTCAACAAAAAGACAAGACTCCGATAACAACAAGATCCGGCCGCAGAGTAAGATGGCCCCAACATTATGTCGCTACAATTTTCTATTAATAATAATCTAAAATTTGAAATATAACTTAGAACTTGGGGAGACCAATTTATCGTTTAGTGCAAAATTATAAGTGTCTTCTTAAAATATGAAAATCATACATTAAATACTTACTTACTTACTTACGCCTGTTACTCCTCGTGAAGGAGCATAGGCCGCTCACCAGCATTCTCCATCCAACCCTGTCCTGGGCAATCCTTTCTAGCTCCGTCCATACATTAAATACATAATTTGCATATTTTTCATCAGTTTTCTCTTACAAAGTTCATCATTCCTTCATTCCTGTTTTTATTACCATCATACTCTGTCTACATCCCTGTATTCTTCAATTCTATCTCTTCAGTCTTTTGTTGCTAGGGCTTCTATTCGTGTTACACACTATTTATGTCTGTCAACATAAGTAGACCATACCACATAACTAGTTTCCTATTAACATGACCTATCACATAATCAATAAAATATATGTCTGTGTTATGTGTATAATATTTATTATTTATTAAAAGTTTTTTCTCTTTAACACATGGTTTATTGTATGGAAATCAACTGACAAACACATGTATCCAATATTTATTTCTGTTAGAGGACGTCAATTACTTGGAAGAGCATGTGTTCTTATCTCTCTTAAATTATTTTACTTTGAACAAGAAAGTTTAGTATGTATTTTAAATGATGGCGATTATAAAAAGAATTGTTGTGCTTAATCAATAGCGAAGGGTGATAGCCTCAACTCCTTAGGTTCGTAATGATGATATGATATGAATTAAAAGCAATTCAAATTTATAGTCACATTAGAATCCGTGATTTTGCTGTGCTTTATTTGAACTACATCCTCATTTATCTCTAACAATGACACTGTTTAAAAGTAAACATTAATTACCTTATTTGATGACAAATTTTCTGTGTTTCTTGTACGATCCAATTTTTGACAAAGCATAGTTAAATATTAAGCTGAGTCTTTTGTATTCAGAACCTAATCAACATTTCGGATTTATTGAATTGATGCTAAATTTATCATTGTGGACAGATTGAAGTTAGACTTGTACACATTTGGACCCCAGTTTAGTGTTATTGGAGATTAAACGTTCGCGTGCGAAACCGAAGATCTCGGTTTTTAATCCCACTTGCAGAGTCGTAGATTTATACTACTGAGGAGTCCCATATTAGGACGATCACAATGGCGTAGGTGTATACACCTTCTGTCTTCCCTTAAACTATAGGATTAAAATTATTTCATCTTTCTTTCTGTACCACATACTCAAGTAGAGTACAGCATACTTGAACATTACTTTGTAGCTAATCGTGTTCATACACAGCGAGATAAATTTGGCCACGCGAGCTCGCTACTTCCAGATGAAGTAGCAGATAATGTACGAGAGATTTTAATCAAGCCAGACATAGAAAAGCCATACGACGCATTAAAACAGGCAGTGATTAAAGCCGTCTCATTAAGCGACCGGCAAGCCATCGAACAACTTCTCAGTCAAGTGCAGATAGGAGATAGGACTCCATCTCAACTAAAAAACTACATGAGAAGCATAATCGATGACAGAAAAGTAGATAAAAACATATTTTATCAGTTTTGGTTACGACGACTCCCAGCGAACGTGCAGCAGATCCTTGCGGTTGAGGACAGCGATGTCGATATAGACAACATTGCTAAAATAGCCGATAGGATTTATGAGAGAATGAAACAAACGAGTCCGCACGGGCATAGTACCACATAGATGGACGAATCGATGCATTACAAAAGGAGATTAATGTTTTATGCCACAAGCTGACGAAACTAAATCAGAGCGATACGCAAAGAGGATGGTCACGAAGTAGATCGAGGGAAAGAAGTCGATCACGTTCTAGGAGACGCTCAGCTCCTACAATATGTTGGTACCATCAAACTTTCGGCGATAAAGCTCGAAACTGTAGATCACCATGTAAATTCAAACGAACACACCGATTGTCGATAACCGCCGCAACAACTACAACAGCTCCTAGAAACAGTCGTTTATTTTACGTTCAGGATAGAGTAACAGGCGCTCAATTCTTAGTGGATACGGGAGCAGAAGTAAGCGTCGTGCCTCCAGTAAGTAACGAAACACGAAATATCGATACAGCGCTAACGCTTAAGGCAGCAAATAAATCCGATATAAAAACATATGGCAAGCGAAAAGTAACCTTGAATTTCGGTCGTACTACCTCATTCCGCTGGGAATTCATTATCGCAGATGTATCCGTACCTATAATCGGTATTGATTTCTTAAAGAATTTTGACTTACTAGTGGATACCCGACGAAACCGGCTCGTGAACGGCGACCATTCAGTAGTGATAAGAGGAGTGACGACTGATCACGCATCCATGAATTTAGTAGTGTCAAAAGACAAAAACGAGCCATATAGATCGCTTCTAAACGAGTATGCCGATCTGACGAAGGTATCATACGATAACAGAGATCTTAAACATACGGTACAGCACCATATTATAACGAAAGGTCCACCGACTAAATCAAGACCACGAAGGCTAGACCCGAAAAGGTTGAATGTCGCGAAACGAGAGTTCGAAAAGTTGACGAAGCTTGGTATCATAAGACCTTCTAATAGTCCCTGGGCGTCCCCATTGCATATGGTTTCGAAGAAGAATGGGGAAATCAGGCCATGCGGAGACTATAGAGCCCTTAACAAGCAAACGATAGCAGACAGATATCCGATACCACATATCCACGACATTACTACCAATATGGAAGGTGCCACGATATTTTCGAAAATCGATCTCGTTCGAGCTTATTACCATATTCCCGTAGCGACAGAAGATATATCTAAAACGGCTATAATTACTCCATTTGGGTTATTCGAGTTTTTGCGAATGCCATTCGGATTAACTAATGCAGCCCAAACCTTCCAAAGATTCATCGATCAGGTCGTCAGGGGTTTGACAGGAGTTCACGCATATATCGATGATATACTAGTAGCTAGCTCTACCAGAGAAGAACATCTACAACATCTACGACAGTTGTTTACGAGACTTCAAGAACATGGCGTCACTATTAACGTGGAAAAGTGTGAATTTGGAAAGGAATCATTGCAATTCCTAGGTCATATGATAAATTCACATGGTATCATGCCAGTTCCGACAGAAGTTGCTGCTATTCGTAATTATCCGTTGCCCGATTCACAAAGAAAATTACGAAGATTCTTGGGGCTAATAAACTATTATAGACGATTTATCCCAAACTGCGCAGCAATATTACAGCCATTGACGGACGCCTTGCGAGGACATACTCGAACATTCCGTCTTTCAGCGGATGCTATACAGGCTTTCGAGAACGCTAAGCGAGCGCTAAACGAGATGATGTTGGTACGACGAAAGAGCGAAGCACCATTAGCAGTAATGACAGACGCATCGAACTTAGCAGTAGGAGCCGTTTTGCAGCAGTTAGTAAACGGTGTATGGGAGCCACTTTCATTTTTCTCGAAAAGATTAAATCCTACCCAAACGAGATATAGTACGTTTGGACGAGAATTATTAGCAATCTACTTAGCAATAAAACACTTCCGTCATATGGTCGAAGGCATAAGTTTTACCGTCTATACAGACCACAAACCGCTAACGAAAGCATTAAGCGCAAAGCAAGACAATTATTCCCCGAGAGAGATCCGACAACTAGAGTTCATTTCACAGTTCACGTCCGACATACAGTACGTTAAAGGACAAGAAAACGATGTGGCCGACGCATTGTCACGAGCAACGATAAGCACACTTATGGCAAGTGGAATTGATTATAACGGTCTAGCAAAGTTGCAGGAGAGAGACATCGAGCTAAATAAACTCAGATCCGGTGGTTCAACATCATTAGTACTCGAAGAGGTGCGGTTTGGTAACACGAAAGTAATTTGCGATACATCAACAGGCCGACCGCGACCATTTATCCCGAAAACGTTGCGACACAAAATATTCGAAAGCATGCACAACATGTCGCACCCAGGAATAAAAGCCACGATAAAGCTGATTAGTGAACGATTCGTATGGACAAACATGAATCACGATGTACGTAATTGGACACAAGCATGCATGAAGTGCCAAAAAGTTAAGGTACATCGTCATACTAGCTCTGCAGTAGGTCCGTTTTCGCACCCAGACACTAGATTTGAACATATACACATCGATATTGTAGGACCACTGCCCGTTTCAAATGGATACAACTATATCTTTACATGCATCGATAGGTTTACACGATGGCCGGTAGCAGTGCCGATAAAAGACACCTCAGCTGAAACGGTAGCTAAAACCCTAGTTGAAAATTGGATTTCTTACTACGGTGTACCAACGATTATCACAACGGATAGAGGAGCACAATTCGAAAGTCGACTCTTTCAGCAGCTTACTGAACTCCTCGGTGTTAAACGAATCCGAACGACGTCGTACCATCCAATGGCAAACGGAATGGTTGAACGCCTACATAGGCAATTAAAAGCGTCCCTTACAGCCGTCATCGTTAACAACGATTGGTCTAATAAACTTCCCCTAGTAATGTTAGCTCTAAGAGCAACAATTAAACAAGACATGGGATGTTGTCCAGCCGAGTTAGTTTACGGAACTACTCTACGATTACCCGGAGAATTTTTCACTTCAAGTAAAAATGTCCCGACTGATGTAACCGGCTATGTGCAACGCCTGAGAAAGCACATGAGCGATTTAAAAATAACACCTCCCAGACCACAACAACGACGGGTATTCATACCACAGGAACTACATAACAGCTCTCACGTATTCATCAGAAGAGATAAAGTACAACCACCTCTTCAACCGAGTTACGACGGACCATTTAAAGTGATAGAGAGGACAAATAAAACGGTTACCATAGAAAAAGCTGGGAAGACAGATGTAATTAGCATCGATCGAGTAAAGCCAGCTTTCATCGATAGCGATAATCAATCAACAAGTACAGACTCATCTAAGATGGTCATACCAGCGAAACACGAGTCCCAAAAATCAACAACGTTAACTCAACAAAAAGACAAGACTCCGATAACAACAAGATCCGGCCGCAGAGTAAGATGGCCCCAACATTATGTCGCTACAATTTTCTATTAATAATAATCTACTATTTGGAATATTAATTATAACTTCTACCTCATCGTATACACATGCATTATTAAGCTCATGTTATGCGCTATAAAACTCAACGTATCTTATGTACCCTTACACTTATGCGTATAATTTTTGCCCAAAATGTAAAGCAATCCGCACTTAATCAGTTGGCAATCAATGTTCGTAGGCACGGTATGTGCTTTGCACCTTCGAAGTGCAAAGTATTTCTACATGACTGGCAGGATCCTAATTAATCCTGTACTCACCCTGGATGGTGAGCAGATAGAAGTAGTCAAGAAGTTCGTGTATCTAGGTAGCTGCAGGGCGGTGGTATTATAGCGACTCACGTGCTAATGGGTTTATTTTCATTTAACCCAGTTAAGCCCTTTTTGTTAACTTATTTAGCGGACAAAGCCATCCGCGCTATAACAATTTATTGTATCCTTATTATTATTTTGAGCTTGTATGAAACACGTATGCCTGAATATTGAGTACAGCCTACGCAGTTCTTCGTCCTGCTAATCTTCCGCCTACCCGCCAGTTAGAGTCCATTGAACACCAGTCTCAGCCTCTGAATTATGAATAATTTTATTTCGAAAATACTGAGTTTATATACCCCGATCAAACAGACCACAACGTACCAATAAAATATGAAACAACATTTGTACAAGAATTAACCAGATGTGGCTGTGAATGAAGGAGGTAGTAATTAATATACTGGATATAACTCAAGATTGATAACGTATAATAATAGTTTATAGGTCAAAATAAAGCTTGTAATAAGAGGAATATGAATATGATAGTTTAGTTACTTAATAATCATACAATAGAAATATACGTCTAGTATTGGTCAATCAATAGATCCCAAAAGTTACCATTCATTGTTCTTGTCGGGACATAACATTATGCCAATGTGGGTCATCTTTGGCACCTTCGTGATGTCGGTCTGGCTGTAAAAGGTCGGATCTACGACGCGTCTGTGAGAGCATTTCTGCTCTATGCTTGTGAAACCTGACCTCTCCGAGTTGAGGATGTTAGACGACTCTCTGTGTTTGATCATCGCAGAGACGATAATGCAATTGATGTCACCGTCTTGAAAAATCGACTTCAGTGGCTTGAACATGTTCTACGAATGTCATCGATAGAATTCCACATCGTGCAGTATTTGCGGACGCCGGGACTGGTTGGATAAAGCGGAGAGGTGGTCAGTGTATGACATGGTGTCGTGGTATGAAATAAAGCTGTAAAGGGTTGGCTTCTGTTGACCCTTCACTACTCCCTGGTTGGATGATGCAACATAGTGGCTAGAGACGTTATCAAATATGGCTCAGAATAGAAGCCAGTGGCGATGCTGCTGTAACCTTCTTTTACTTTCTTCATAAAAAGTGGTTGTATCTTCCTTAACTGTAGGGTTTTTCTGGTTGTACCTCTCCGTTTTCCCCATTATTATGATGATTATTATTAATATTACTCTACCTTACACTAATCTGTTCGTTATTGTTCTTCTCTTTTTCTTATATGCTCCTTACCTTCCTTTTTCTCTTCCCATTCTCATTGTTTTTTGTGTGGCACATATATATTTGGTGCCCTCTTGTACCAATATTTGTGTGTTCAAATAAATAAATAAATAAATACATTTGGCAAATGAGTAATAGTATATAGCCTAATAAATGTCTTACATCATTATTGGTACAACGAATAGTGCTGAAATGCTCACAACTAATTAGTTATTGATTTAGTTACCATAAGAAATTGGGGCAGAATATGATACCTGCTCTCTATACAGTCATAAATCAACATAATATTAAATTGGTAGTATTCTCGATGCCTCTTCATATACTAGACAATTTGAATTCGAACTATATTAATACTAAAGCATAGTTGATTAGAAACCTCAGTATTCTGGTAAGTGTTTATTTACAAAACGGTAAAACCACAAAACTAAAACAGCAATCTGAACCGTTAACTGATTGGTAATAAATAAAATAACCTTTAACTATATAAACTTATTTTCAATGAAATTTGTCACAATTAGATATTCGAACGAATTCAATTGATTTCATTTAGATTGTTCAACATCTTCCTTTACGAAATGTTGATGCATTCAATAGAGATTAGAGGGAAGCCTCAATGTATCAAGATGAGGTATTTATCTCTTGATAAGTCTTGTCGACTGAACGCTATATTTATTTCCTAAGCTATTCCGATGACCCGCACGCTAGAACTACACAGCAACTTGAACACCAGAGAGAAGACACAAGTATGAGAGAAAACAAACGATTTTGAAACCCAAGGTTCATTTTTGTACAGAAAATCATAGGTATTTTAGATGTTGGCGTCTGTTAAATCAACATCATATTTCAATCAATCCGTTAACGACATATTATGCTACCGACCAATAGAATTACGCGGGAGTAGGAATTCTTTAATCTCCTCTTATATGCTTATAGGAAACAACTAACTTTAGGATGGAAAAGGAGGTAAGAGCATGGAAGCTTTTATAAGATGCTAATTAATTAAGTTAATTAAGTTAATCGATGGATTAATTAGAAGCAAATTATCTTTAGTCATACGGATGGTATGTAGCTAGTTGATAAATCAGTTGTATTTTATTTCTGACTTGAATATCTTTTGCTTATAAATTAAACTATAAATCATTTACTTTTAAATGTCGATAAATGTAAATCTACAAATTAAACACATTAGGATAATAAACAATAATACTTGGAGCCGTGGATACTCGATGAACCATTAGTTCAAGTTAATTTAACTTTTGTAATGTACCCAGATAGAACAAGTAAGATTCATTTTCGACTATTTATACTTGTAAATCAGATCAAGATATATACTCAAACTTTTTTATTATTATAGATGTGTTCCGTAGAAAGTCAAGCTAAATTTTTAATCAATAAAATACTTATTTATTTCTCTCGGATAATTAAGCTAAATATTGATTAATAGGTGGTACCAGTCAGTATTTCTTACTAATTATTTGATCTTAAACTGATATCTATGATTGACTTAACCTATTTCTAAGCAATTTCCATTCATAAAACATAAAACAATAATTAAAGATCACTATGAAACACCGTCTTAAATCTTAACTCTTCAGTTAATGTGGTCAGTCCATGATGAAAACTATATAAGAAATATTAACATCTTAAGAATATCTTAACGCATAAACATGATTAATTGGAAATACACATACGCATATTGTTATCTTTTTGCTTTTCTTAAATAAGGCTAGTGAACATAACACATCTAATCAAGTGACAAGTGATAATCAAACATCAAGTGCAGATAATACTTCACGAACTGGTACAAGTGGAGCATCTTCAGCCAGTGCACTTACTCAATGGGCTTTGTCTGCTTTGTCATTTTCTACTCGTATTTTACCATCATCATCAACAACGACAACTACAGCCACGACAAAATCGTTTGATACGGATGTACAATCAACGTCCGATCCTTCATTATCATCGTCAGCATCACAACTCAATAGAAACTCAAATAGCTTAGAAAGAATTGAAGAAAAACAGTGCAGTAATAATAGTAAGTGTCTGTATTTTGTCATTATCTATAAATGACTACTTATTATTTAAGGTTTTTAACTAGAACTCTGAGAATCTCCTCTCGAAGCTAGTCACCAGTGAACACATAATAATAGAAAGTATTGGGTTATTTATGTGAGACCGAAGGACCTGAGTTCAATTCTTCAATGTGGGGTTGTGGATGCAGACTTTCGAGAAGTCCAAAACCAGGACAAGACGGCTATCCAGTGCTTCCAGGATTTCAATGAAATTCGACGATTCCTATAACACTATACTTACAAAGTTTATTGCAATCTGTTAAGTTTACTTACATCACATTAAATCTTGGGATTCCAGGCAAGTTAGCAAACAGGTGATGTGATGTATAACATTTACTAAACTGTGATAAAATTGATAACCTCATAATGCCTAAGATTCAACACTGATTTATTAGAATTCAAAGTCATCATCATCATCATCATTAACTTTTAAGTACAATATATACTTGAAATTATAGACCGAATTCTGAATAACAGAAATCAATCTCTAGAATTTATATATGATACTATTTGAAAGTGGTCTCAGCGAAACTCTGATAAGTTTATTTCACCAGATATTTTTAATGATAACTCCTAATAAATTACTTGATGAATATTTAGCTATGTAGGAAAAAAAAACAAAACGAAAAGTTTTACAAGTAGTTAAAATCTGTAATTCCAGTTTAATTTTTCTATACTTGTATCAATAAACCTGAATTATTTTTTGATTGTATGTGAATGACGATTACATAATTGGTTTCAAAATGATTTTCTTCGGCCAGTATCATTTATAGAATACTTAAATAAAAACAATGAATTATTTATTCAGTCAGCGTTACTTATTACCCGTAATTTTTTTTGCAGTCTAAAAATATACAAAAGCAGTAAATATTATTGATCAGCTTTCAGAAATAAACATTGATACGCCATAGTCTTTATCCTTTCTCTCTCTCTCTCTCCATAGATGGAATCAGTCAAGTATTGAAAACTGTTATATCTAGAGGTATACTATTCCAAGCGCAGTTGTTAGAAAACGGGTACTAGGTAAGGATGGCAAATCAATTGATGAAGTAGTGAAACGTATGCCCAACCACCGACTGCCCCGACGTACGACGTTCAATGGTATAGGAGTAGGCTGGAAGAAAGCTAGGGGCGGCCAGACCAAAGCATGGCAGAAATCCATGAAGTCACTAACAAGTAGACTGAGCCATGTTGGTAGGTGTAAACTATCCAGTTGGGATAGATGATCAATGATTCTTGATTATTTTCGTTGAATTATTGTAAGTATTGTTTAATTCCTGTGAAGAAGTTTTGCCTGACTATATTTATTATTCACCTTAGGGAGAAGAAAAATAACATCTTCAAACCCTAATCTTTCCGATTACTGCTTATACTTCTAACTATTACCAAGCTAGTGACTTTGATGTGTTCGAGTTATGAGCAATGTTTTTGTGATCATCCTAAGTATAACGATTGTAAATAATGCAGGTTTTAACCGTGCGTGGACGAAGTTGCTACGTTGTTACTGATTGTATATTGAATAGCAGACAAGAAATACCTAGTCAGACAACAGAAAGAATTCTATTGAAATAATAAATTTCACACATCTTTTTATTAAACAACAACAACAAAATATCACAATGATAACTTACCTCTTCAATATCACATAAACTTTTTAAATAAACTGATTCTGTCTTTAACTCGATTAGCAAGATATTACATTGTAATTGTTTTAATAATGGTCCTACATTAACTTCATTAATGTTATCAGAAATATGTTCAAAAATTTAATAAACTAGTATTATTATAATTAGTAGAAAATAATGTAGTATGATTATTCAATAGTCCTATGTAATTATTATTATCATTATACTGATTACCATTTTGGTCTGAATTAAACTTAATTCCATTCATTGAAATAAAATGATTCATAACTCAGAGGCTGTGAGTTGTGTTCTTGACTAAACTGGCTAGGACAACATCAGTGTATTTTGTTTAATTTGTAAACTAATAATCCATATTTTTGTCATAATCAGTACAATAAATTGATAGAAATTACCTAGAAAATAGAAAAAAATTAAGATTTAATACTGTGAACATTTTATTATTAATAAATATTATCACTATAGGGATTTGTATTTAATTTTTTTATTTTATTTTAACACATAGATATTGGTACAAGGAGGCAACAAATACATATGCGTCACACAAATCTCATTTGATATGTGTGAGGGCTGTGATACTGCTCGGGTGCCCAAACCGAAGTAGGTGGTTTTCATAGGGGACGATATTTGCGTGGGCCTCACCCAAGTAGTCTGCATCTACCAACATGACTCGGAGCATCGTAAGGAGATGCAGTCCCATGGTAGCCGGTGACCAACAATTGGTTCGTACGCCATTTGTTTCTTTAGGATACTGAAGCCCATGTTCACCATTGGTTTGGAATCAGGGTTTTCAAATTCCCCTAGGTGGACCCAACCATCTCAATCGATGAAGATTCACAAACTCATCAACTGATTTACCATCATTACATAATACCCTGCGTCAAACCTCACTGTTACTTATCCAATGATCCAAACAGATACTGGCAATATTCGCGTGGCCATGTGAGAGCATTTCGAGAGGGAGAGCGGACTCTCCCCACTCTCGGCCGTACCAGGGCATTTCGGGGGATAGGGGTTTGTGGAGATTGTGGTATCTTTAAAGTTGAATCCACGAGTCCAGTGATTCTAGGTCATCAATGATGGTCTCAACTCGTGAATTCAACTTTGAAAATAATAAATATCACGTTAATTATTTTAATATCATTCAGTGGTCCATATCGAAGTATAGTAGATTCGGGGTTCAAATCTATTATGACTTGTGACCACTGACCAAAATCATGTGTCAAGTCACCAAATCAGCCTCAAAGTCGACTGTTAATCATGACAAAGAATCAAATTCATGGGATCTTATGGACAATACTAATAATGATGATGACGGTGGTGATGATGATTGGAATTTAGATATAAATGATGTTTTTGAATATGTAGATGACAATAAATCAACATTAAATCATAACTCAGAAAATAAAAATGGTTAATAAACAGACATAACAGGCCACACCACACCATCAAGTGAAAAATAACAATTATACGTCAGTGAGCCGAAAATGACTGTCAAAAGAAAGTAAATAATAAATTAGCAACAATAATAAATCGTATAACAGTAGTTAATGAGTAAACCGGAAACTCATGATGAATGGGATATATATTTACATAGTAATCTAGTTCCTTAGTAATCATGCAATAAAATTATAATTATCAGTGGAGTCCAATCCGTGTCGTATGTGAGATATATCAATCAAAAAAGTCATCATCTGAACATGTTCCAACTCGAACTAATTCTAATAAAACTGATAAACCTATAAAATGGTCTGAAGGTTAAGCGTTTGTGCGCGAGACCAGAGGTTCGAGTTTCGAGTCCCACATGCGGAATTGTGAATACATACTAATAAGGAGTCTCATTATAGGACGGAACGGATGTCCAGTACTTCCGAGTTTACAATGGTGATCTAGATCAGATCGACTCATGAATTCAACTGTTAAACTTACTGGCTAGTTGTAAATAGTCACTCTCTCTCAAAAAAATAATAATAAAAAAACCAGTTCCAACTTTCTATAATATCCGTTCCAAGGTTTCAAACTGTGGATACCTAATCGAATTGATGACGGTGGTCAAAGTAATCCTGTGTACACTGTGTAACTTACAGAAATATTCTATTCTGTGTTTGTCATTGTAAACTCTAGTTCTCTCACTTCTGATTAAGATACAAGTTGATCAATGGATTTGTGTAACAATATTGTTTTATTAATCTAAATGATTGATCATATACTATTACGCAATATTTATTTCATAAAGTGCCTTATTCTAACGATTTACTTTAATATGGATATATGTAAGAGATGTTTGAATTCATTAGGAAATATGAAGTTTAACATATCTTATTTTAAATTTTCTTTCCTCTATTTTATTTTATCTACTTTCTTCCTTTTTTTTTCTCATCCAGTATATTCTTGTTTCTAAGTAAATAATACATATTTTTATAAATGATTATAACAAACTGGCCAAACAAACATTTTGTTCCTTACTACCGAAGTCATTTAAACCTTAATGAACTTTTCAAGTTTTCTAATCTATTCACAACAAATTCTCAGATGTTGCTTGTGGTTGTTTAAGTCAAAAACTGTCTCGCCAATAGTATTCCTGTAAAAAAATGTATTTAGATAAATATGAAGAGTATGAATGATTGTGTTACCGATAAACTGCTTTCCTCCGAACGCATAAGACGTCTAATCATGATTATTAATATGTTAATAATTTGCACAATAGCATGTTATTTTACTATATAAAAAAACCCTATTTTTCTGGGCGGATAACTTGTTTTCTATTATCAGTCCATATGGGATAATATTAATAATTTGGTCTTATGAGCAGTTATTACTAGGGCATATTGTATCATTGCAAAGCATCTATCAATCATAATTGAATTTATTTATTTTAAAAATGTGAGACTCAATCATCAGTTGGTAAGTCATATTCAAAATGAAGTCTGACACAAAATGTGAGTTGGTTCAATTTACCATTCACAGATTATAACACATCAAGAAGCCTATAATTATGTTATATTCCGATGGGGATAATGAATGGTAACTTTTGGGATCCATTTATGGACCAATACTATACGTATCTTTTTATCGTATAATTGTTAAGTAACTAAATTATTCATATACGTGTCCCCTTTATCATAGGCTTTATTTTGACCTATGAACAACTATTATTATACGATTTATCATTCTTGAGTTATGCCCTGTCTATCAATTACTATCTCCCACATTCACAGCCACATTTGGCTAAATCTTGTACAAATATTGTTTCCTATTTCATAGTACAATGTGGTATGTTTGGTTGATATATAAACCCAGTATGTTTCAAATAAATAGAATTCCGATATATTGGTCATCGCCAAATATACTCTTCCGATCTCCTCGACTCTGTCTTTTGATTTCTCTGGGCGGGAACGAAATATATTAGAAGGTGTTACTGGTAGAAGCGTTGTCAAACACTGAATACCTGTGACATCATCATTGGTGAAACCGACGTGATCCGGTACGATAATCCCCTGTTCTCTAATTGGCGGTAATTATCGTACTTCATACTTCATCATGACTGAACAGACACCTAAAGTACTCAAGCTTAAGACTTTGTCCCCGCCTTCGTTTCAACTGATGCCTTTCTGGCCCGACAACATCGAAGCCTGGTTTTGCTACGCAGAAGCCGACTTTTCCGAGCACGGCGTGATCGACACACGTGCACAATTCCTCGCAGTAGTCAAGGCACTACCGCGCGAATTCAACAGGTACGTAACACCTAGTATGTTTACTAGTGATGTTTCCGATCCTTACGAAATCTTAAAACGCTCGATTCTTAAACGAGGAGACCTAACCGATCGACAAAGGTTAGATCAACTCTTCAACAATATCGACCTGCAACACGGTTCTGCGACAGACATGTTGCAACGGATGAGAGAGGTAATAGGCCCAAGAACTTTCGACGAAGGCCTATTCAAACAACTCTTCTTGTCAAAACTTCCCCAACAGGTGCAAGCAGTTCTGGTCTCGTTCCAGAACAACGCCTTAGACGAACTAGCTGCATCTGCCGACCGCATTTTAGAAATTACGAAATCTACTACCGAGGTATTTTCAGTCAAAGAAAAACCTCAAACGACTCAGAATGATATAAACGACTTATGTCACACACTCACGCGTTATCTTAGTCTTCGTACCGACCGTAAGAGATCGCGCACACCACGTAGAAGCATTTCTCGTAAACGATCTGTCTCTAGACCACGAGAGACAGATAACCCCGACTGGTGCTGGTATCATAACCAGTATGGAAAGTTTTCCAGAAATTGCAGAAAACCCTGCAATTTTCCCAACACGAAACCGACTGATTCGAAAAACAATTCGGGAAACTTCCAAGCCGGCACGCGTTAACGGCAACCGTAGCCGGCGAACAAAGCCGTCTGTTATTCGTCACAGATGTGACAACGAGAGTTCGCTACCTCGTCGACACTGGCGCAGAAGTTAGCGTTCTCCCAGCAAATCCTAACGACCGACTACACGAATCGACCCTAACCAGGCGGCAAACGGAAAACCGATCGCTACGTATGGCAAAAGGTACGTTTACCTTAACGTGGGTTTACGCAAACCCATCCACTGGATTTTCGTTGTTGCAGATGTTTCTATGCCAATCATTGGTATGGATCTTCTACAACACCATAATCTGATCATCGACACTCGCAAACGGAGGCTAGTAGACGGAAACCCTCTATCCACCACTACTCGATAAGTACCCTGGGATACAACAAACTCAAACGAAACTACCGTGTGTAACCAGCAATGTTACACATCACATCACGACTACAGGACCACCTGTATTTTCTAAAGCACGCCGACTAGCTCCTGAAAAGCTAAGGTTAGCGAAAAACGAATTCGATCACATGATGGACTTAGGAATCATACGACCGTCAAGTAGCCCATATGCATCTCCGTTGCACATGGTCCCTAAAAAGGACAGCAACGATTGGCGTCCAACTGGTGACTATCGGCGATTGAACGCGAAAACCATTCCCGATCGTTACCCGTTGCCTCACATTCACGATTTGACAGCTACCTTGAAAGGTACAACTGTCTTTTCGAAAATCGACTTGGTTAAAGCGTATAACCAAATCCCTATGGCTACTGACGACATACCGAAAACGGCTATCATAACTCCCTTCGGACTCTATGAATTTTTGCGAATGCCTTTCGGTCTAAGGAATGCTGCTCAAACATTCCAAAGATTCATAGACGACGTTTTTCGAGGTCTCAACTTCGTACATGCGTATGTTGACGACTGTCTAATCGCAAGTCCGGACAGAGAAACACATCTCAAGCATCTGGATCTTGTTTTCGAACGACTTCAAAAACATGGCATAACTGTAAACGTTCAGAAATGCCAATTCGGAACCGACTCGTTAGACTTTCTGGGACACACTATCGATGCTCAAGGTATCCGACCCCTTAGAACCAAAGTGGCGGCCATTCTGGATTACCCAGAACCGACCACCGTCAAGCAATTACGCACGTTCAACGGCCTGGTAAGTTTTTATAGACGTTTCATACCCAAATGCGCATTACTCATGAAACCGCTAACCGACCAACTTCGTTGAAATACGAAATCCATCAATTTGGACGACACCACACAAAAAGCATTCTCCACAATTAACGAACTAATCACTAAAGCAACAATGCTCGCACACCAGGACACCCGAGCACCCGTTAGCATCGCAGTAGACGCATCCGACTCAGAAATCGGCGGCGTCTTACAACCATGGGTTAACAACTCCTGGCAACCTTTGACATTTTTCTCTAGAAGGTTGCTAGACACCGAATCGAGGTACAGCACATTCGGTAGGGAACTCCTAGCTATGTATTGTGCTGTACGGCATTTCCAACACTACATCGAAGGTCGTGAATTCACTCTTTTCACGGACCATAAACCGCTCACTTTCTCGTTAAGCTCTCCTTCTGACAAGTACTCTCCCCGTGAGTCTCGACAACTGGACTACATTTCGCAGTTTACTTCAGATATTCAACACGTCTCTGGAGCAAACAATGTAGTTGCAGACGCTTTATCTCGTATAACTTCCTTGAACAGTTTCCAAGGAATCGACCTTCTTAAACTCGCCGAGCTTCAAAAAGAAGACAGTGGTCTTCAGCACGAGTTATCGTCCACAACACTTAAACTACGCATCAAACAGATGGGAACAGGTAAGGAAACCTCACTGTGTGACACATCTACAGGTAGGGATCGCCCAATCGTGCCGAAACATTAGCGACGCAATGTCTTCAACACATTGCACAAACTTTCGCATCCAGGTGTTCGTGCAACCATCAAGCTTATAGCAGAAAGGTTTCTCTGGCCTGGAATGAATAAAGACGTGAGGGAGTGGGCACGCTCCTGTGTAAGCCGCCAAAAATCTAAGGTCATCAGACACAA